GCTATCACAAACCTTCTCTGTCATTAAGTTACATGTAGGATTATGGAATTCTCCTATGTAATTAACCAGCATACAGGAAGGCTTTTTTATTGATTATTTGCAGCTTTGTCTTTTGTCCTTTGTTATATTTACAAATAACTAAATGCCTCCTAATCATTCCATCGTGTGTCATTTGAATATATCATCGTCTCATCGTTAGTCGTCCTTAACTTTCAGAAACACGTTGCATCGATTTACCGAAAGGTATATTCTTAAAAAGGCGTAAACATAATCTAGTACATAAGTTATTACACCCCTCGGCAAATTTAGCTGCATTTTTCCATATTCATTCATACATATTTATTAGGAGATAAATAAAACTTCGCTATAAGTGTATTTAGGTATATGTTGATAGATACAGAACAGAAGACATTTCTTAACCTTAAAACCCCCGGAATCTCTACATTTCCCTATGTGAAGTGTGGAATCATAGGCCATTAATAGTACATTAGAGTCCTCTCTCTTAGATAAAGTTTGACGTCGCACACGATGGTGGTGTTAATTCCAGTAAGATCAGGTGTTAATTCTTTATTCGAAGTGTTAATTATCTTGTATCAGTTATCCGAATGAACAGGCTCCAAAGCTTCCAACATTACACGCAGAATATTATCCTGAAAAAACAAGATGTGTTTGTGAAACACTGATGCCCCCGTATGGCAACTTATAGCAAAGGTTAATCAAATGCAAATAAAATATGTTGGTACCCAAAGTTAAGGTCTTGTCTCGAGGAATGTAACTGTGAAATATAAAACCCTTGTAGCAAACATTGAATAGATATGGAAAAGGTTAAGTTTTTCAAAAGTAAGTCAAACATCAAGGACAAGGTCAAAATTAATGGTGCCCAATGAAAGACCTTCTCACAAGGAATACACACGTGAAATATGAAAGCCGTAGCACCGATCGTTCAAAAGTTATGACCAAGGTAAAAGGGCATTAAAACAATACTTACCGAAATAACGACCAATATTATATTTCCTATGCAATCAAAAATATATGCCATGAAAACTTGAGATTACTAAAATAACGATGGAATGTTGTTAAGCCCCCGTACCGAAGATTCGGGGGTATATAGTTTTTGCCCTGTCCGTCCGTCTAGCTGTTTGTCTGTCTGTTTATCTGTTTGTCCGCAAAAAGTTTAACATTGCCCATAACTTTTGATTGATTGGAGTTATGGCGTTCATATTTCACATGTGTATTTCTTGTGAGAAGACCTTTCTTTGGGTACCATCATATTTGACCTTTTGACCTTGACCTTGGAGTTTGACCCAGTTTTCCAAAATTTTACTGAATTTTAACCTTGGCCATAACTTTTGAACAATTGGTGCAAGGGCTTTCACAGTTCACATGTGTAATTCTTCTGACAAGACCTTCCTTTGGATACCAAAAACTTTGAATCTTTGACCTTAGAGTTTGACCTACTTTTGAAAAACTTTAACCTTGTCCATAACTTTTGAATGGTTGGTGTGAGGGCTTTCATACTTCACATGTGTAATCCTTGTGACAAGACCTTCCTTTGGATGCCAACAACTTTGACCCTTTGACCTTGACCTAGGAGTTTGACCTACATTTGAAAAACTTTAACCTTGGCCATAACTTTTGAACAGTTGGTGCTACGGCTTTCATACTTCACATATATAATCCTTGTGACAAGAACTTACTTTGGATACCAACAACTTTGACCTTTTGACCTTGGAGTTTGACCTACTTTTGATAAACTTTAAACTTAGCCATATCTTTTGAAAGGTTGGTGCTTCATATTTCACGTGTGTATTTCTTGTGAGAAGGCCTTTCCTTGGGCACCATTTATTTTGATCATTTGACCTTGATATTTGACTTACCTTTGAAAATTTTAACCTTTTCCATATCTTTTAAATGGTTGCTGCCTGGGCTTTCATATTTCACAGGTATATTCCTCTGGAGAAGAACTTACTTTGGGTACCAACATATTTGATTTGCATTTGAGAAAGTTTAACCTTGGCTATAAGTTGCCATACGGGGGAATCAGTGTTTCACAAACACATCTTGTTTTAATAGGGAAATAAAATGTGTTTGTGAAAAACTGATGCCCCCGTATGACACTTATAGCCAAGGTTAAACTTTCTCAAATGCAAATCAAATATGTTGGTATCAAAAGTTAGGTCTTGCCTCGAGGAATATACCTTTGAAATATGAAAGCCACAGCAGCAACCATTGAATAGATATGAAGAAGGTTAAAGTTTTTCAAAAGTAAGTCAAACATCAAGGTCAAGGTCAAACGGTCAAAATTAATGGTGCCCAAGGAAAGGCCTTCTCACAAGAAATACACATGTGAAATATAAAAGATGTAGCACCAACCTTTCAAAAGTTATTGCCAAAGTTAAAGTTTTTCAAAAGTATATCAAACTCCAAGGTTAAGGTCAAAGGGTCAAAGTTGTTGGTATCCAAAGGAAGGTCTTGTCACAACAATTACATATGTGAAGTATGAAAGCCCTAGCATCAACTGTTCAAAAGTTATGGCCAAGGTTAAAGTTGGGTAAAATTTTGCAAAACTTGGTCAAACTCCAAGGTGAAGGTCAAAAGGTCAAATATGATGTTACCCAAAGAAAGGTCTTGTCACAAGAAATACACATTTGAAATATGAAAGCCATAGCTCCAACCAATCAAAAGTTATGAGAAATGTAAAAGTTTTTGCGGACAAACAAACGGACAGACGTAATCTTCGATTACCGGACATAAAAAGCAAAATATGAACATTACTATCCTTCCTATGCAGTCAAAAATATATGTCATGATGAACTTGAGATTATTTGATATAAAAAGTCAAGAAGTTGCTTCCTTGCTGAAATCTGATTGTAAAAAAAAAATTAGCTTGATATAAATTGATTTAAATGTATACAGCAAAATTAACAAAAGTGAAAACAAGTTGATTCATGCAATATCTAATTCAGTGATGCAGTAATTCTGCAATTATCTATTAGGTATCAGTTTTTTAGTGTCTACAATTTAATTAACATATTTATGCTTAAGATTTTCATTCACAAGCGAATGATGTGTTATGAAATATTAAAGATGTTTGTCATCCCTTACCACGACAGAGGTTTTATGGGCAGTGATCCGCTTTGATGGGCGTTTTTTTTTCAGCATAAGCTAAATATAGACAACTTTAGCAGTAGAACATGGATATCATTTTACATATGGTTTCCGCCTATTCCCGATATGGCATTGATTATCCCAAAGATTACTTCGAAGATTTCTTTAACTGCCAGGCCCGTAGGAAGCAATTTCACTTTGAGGGGGCACAAACATATATTTTCAGTATCAACTACCAAAATTCCTTGACAAGCAAAAAAAAAAAAAAAAAAAAAAAAAAAAAAAAAAAAAAAAAAAGGGTCATCAGACGTTATTTTGAGGGGGCACAAGCATATAGTAGCTATATTTTCTATAGTATTCTATATATCGGCAAAATTATTGGGGGGGGGGGGAACGGCCCCCCGTGCCCCCCCCCCCCCGGTTCCTACGGCCATGACTGCGTCAAAGAAAGATTATTACGGTTAACTAGAAACAGATAACCAGGGCTAGAGTTACGAATTTTATTTTTACTTGGAACACCTCTCCCTCTAACACACACCTGTTACAGTAACTGCACCATTATTCTTGAATACATGAAATATGTAGAGATAACAACAGTATTTGAGCTCAAAAGTCCATTAAACATTACAAAATAGGTGCAGAGCAAACACGGAACTCTAAGACACCAGATCAGGTGCCATGGGGAATGAGCATTCCCCGCCGACCGGCCACACCCGCCCCCGCTATGATCGGGAACATGCCTCCTATTGTGTATCCTATCGTATTGCGCGTTTATCCTATCTGGTTGTCCGTTTATCGTATTGTATGTTGCTTTTAGCAGGTTTTCCGTTTTTATTGCATGCATTTGGAAGACATCTACATGTAATTATATCGCCCTTTTCATGAAAAAGATCGAGGTATTCTTATATAAATTACGGATTAAGAAAAAAGAAAAAAGAATAATGGAAATCGATATTGAAAAGAAGTGTTAAAAGATAAGTACGATAAATATGAAGATTTTGTTATATCCACATAAGTATCATCAGTATTTGTCTAAATGAATGAAGAAATATTTATGAGAAACTATAAAGTTAATTTTGATAAACGATGGTTTAAAAAATAAAATTTATCATGGTTTAAATAGTTTGATAATTATTTTGATGTTTTAAATATTTGCTAAATATTATGCAAAAGAGTGTCTTCATCCTGCGAATTATAAAATGTTACAATTAATTCACGTCAAATTTGAATGAGGAAAATCGCTGTTATTTACATTTAAATATTCTAATTGAATCCTATTAAGAACCCCCCCCCCCCCTTCAAAAAACATCTCGAAAGGCAAGTAAAAAAAACTCTATGAAGTAAAGTTTATGTTGAGAGGAGGGGGGGGGGGGTGTTTTATGAAAACAATGAGTAAAGTACGTTTTAACGTTTAAACTCTATTAAACCTAATAATATAACAAAAAATTAAGATCTGTCGGTTTCACATTTTTTTTACGCAACATAAATATAAAATGATTTTTCTGAATTACGTGATTTGTTCCCATTGAAAAATAAAACAGTAGCTATATGTACATGTAATTTGACCCGCTTAGGACAGCACTACAGCAGTTAAACATAGTCACAGGAAGTCCAGCAAGTGTCAAAGAGAAAATTGATTATGAAAACCAATGTCTTTTATTTGGAAAAAAAAAACAAAAACATGTATACATATTACACGATTTCATTTATGAAAATTTATAGGGTGAAAGTTTTAATACATGTACATATAAAGATTTTAATTTATCAGAAATAAATTTTAATAATAATTTTAATAGCAAACATAATTTAGTTAGTACACAGTTGAGTGACATGCCCATTATGTTTCACAGTTTATTTCACTTGTAAGTTATACAATATTGCTCTCTTTTCAGATTACAAACAACTCTTTGTTATTTGAGAACAGTCTGAGAAAGCCCTGGAAATACAGGTCTGAGATAGACTGTATCCAGACACTAGAAACAGAGATGAAGACACAGGAAGGTTAGGATCACATTTAATTGTCTTTCCCGTTTAGGAAAGACCTTTGAGAAGAATGACAAATTATTAGCTAATGCATTTAATTATATTTGCCCTATTTGATATAAGCTTTATTTATGTCGTGTAATGCAACTCAACTACAGGGCACTCGAAAAAAATTGCCCGCCTTCGCCAAACCCTGTAGTGGAATGAGAAAACTCCTTAACATATTCACTTGTTAGACATACTAGTTTTCATGAGGTATCGTTATCGTAATGTTGTTTTATGGGAAAAAAATCCAAATTCACACATAATGCGTCCTTAACTGGACAAACCTTAAGGTAGTCCGATCCTCAGGTTCTGAAAATTATCATTCTTGAAGTATAAGAAAGATGGAAGCAATATTAATACAAATGAAAAATATTAATAGAAATATCCTTTGAGCTACCGTAGTGTATTTATTTAAATTATATATATATATATATATATATATATATATATATATATATATATATATATATATATATATATATATATATATATATATATATATATATATATATATATATATAAAATTGAAATAAAGCCTCAGTAATCCTATAAAAAAGAAAATATGAAATGAAAATACAAAATTCCACAGTAAAGCTTTAGAGTTTACATCGTGATTGTTGTATTATTGACCATGGCATTGCATAGCAATTCGGACATCTCATCCAACGAATGTGAAAATTTGAGATTTTACGAGAAAGGCAATATACCGTTTATCATGATAAATGTATAAGCAGTTAATTCTAGTTTTACACTGTGGAAAAGTTTCATTTAAAATCCCCTATGCTGAGGTGTTCCGGTCAAACTTTGACCTATACTCGGCAGTTAGGGCCATTGAGCAGTGAGGGATCTTTTTCGTGCCACCACCTACTGCGACACAGGACCACTCTCTACCATCAGCTCATACATTCACCTCTGTCGTTGGCTCGCGTATATCACAGTGATAAGCATAATTTTAATTCATTAAAATTAAATGTCTGTACTTATGTTTGTCTTTTAAGGTAGACATTTACTAAGTATATCTAAAACTTTTAGTTTAACCTGAAATAATCCTGGGAATATCATGTTGTTTACCTTATGTCAAAAATCTTGACGTGAGCCCATTGCAGAGGTGTCTGAGAGAGGAACGAACGACAACTCTGCAAGGGAGATTGACACAGGACCTCGGTTTATTCGGTCTCATCCGAAGGACCAGTCTCCACGTCCTACAGTGAGATTCAAACCCTCGACGTAAGGATCAACTCCTTACTCCGCTATTCTAGAGCGAGCGCTCTAACCACTGCGCCAAGCGGGCTAAAAAAACTTAGGGGAATAAAATCATGCTTCTGCAAGTTAAGACCTGCTGAAGTTGGACAATTATAATATTTCTATGTAGCAATTGAGTAACATATAACATTTAACTTTGCATTAACATTGAAATAGGGTGACCTTCTTAACTTCAATCACCTGTATCATGATTGGATGAAATTCAAAATAACTTTTAATAGCATGATGTATTTACCTCCAGAGTATTTAGTGGTATGACAAAATGTATTATTACCCTTCAGAATAAAACAGTGAATCTGATTGGTCTACATCATGCCACGCGCAGGGAGACAATTCGTGATGTCTCCCTCACGTGCAGGGTGACAACTTTGTCGTCTCCCTTCAGATGACAATAAAATAGCGCAAGCGAACGTGTAGGGTAACAACCGTAATTTCTGATATAGTTGATAATCATATATGCGGGATCGGTAAACAATAAATTATAACGGTGACGTCAATGTATATGTTGGCATAATTATTTTGAAGGAATGGATTTGGAGCAGTGGGTAGTAGAACACAAGAGGTTTACCTGATATTTTATGCTCTATTGTGTTAAATTAAGATTCTTCAGAATAATAAAACTATTAAGGATTGTTTAGTAGGGAGACATCAAAAATAAAAAGGTCCGAATAAGGTTGTCATCCTCGGGCGCGCGCAATATTTGTGATGCCTTCTTACTACACTCATGTGCCAAATTAAATGTCACAATGGCTGACCCACTTGTCAAGTATCACAGACATACATTTTCATTTTCAAGTATTATTAATGTAAAGATGCCTTGACTTGGAACTTTTCTACCAATGCATAAATTCAGTTGTCACGTAGGCTGATCAAAGGGAGGTAAGTCTTTGTTTACAAATAAAGTTGTCGTCTGCAGAATATAGCAATGGGTGCCAGGGGAAAGGATTTGACAGATGAACAACAACTTGAATCCTAAAAGTCACAAATGAAGGTAACAGTGGTGGAAAAATTGGGGAAATTTTAGGAATTAATAGATTTACAGTGTGTCATTTTTTGGAAAGGAATGAAAACCAGGAAAATATCAGTTTATCAAAAGGAAGTGCAGGAAAGTCCAAATGTGGCGAAAAAAAAAATAAACGTAGTGAAGGATCAGACCGAAGATTTTTGAATATCAGAAAAGTTAAATGGTGAAGGGCTTTATCAGATATATTTCTAATCTATATAATAAAAATACCTCTCAGAAACTATCCAAACGCACATTTCAAAGGTGATCGCATTAAAATTGGTATCACAGGAGAGTAGTGAAGAAGACCACCACCATTTCCTAATCGAATAGACTGAAGCGCAGAATCTTTTGCAGATCTCATTTATACTGGACTGTTTATCGTGAATGTTCCTGAGTGGTATTCTCTGATGAAACACAGATTGTTTTAGGAAAAAAAATGAAAGTTTTTGTTTGGGGAAAAAATGAGGAAAAATGGAAACCACGCTGTCTTGGAATTTACAGTGACCAACAGACTCCACAGCTTATTGTAATGTTTTTCGAGTGTCTCACCAATGGTGCTGTTGGCACATTAACACCATTAAAGGAAATATTAACTCCAGGAAGTACACTGAAATTCTTGATGCAAATCATTGGCCAGTTATTGCCAGAAAAAGGAACAGGACAGAACATATTTCTTTCAAAAAGAAAATGCACCCGTCCATACATCTAGAGAGACTTGTAGGTGGAAAACTGAAAATTGCATCAACACAATGAATTACCCCCACAATGTCCAGATATTATCATGATTGAAAATGTTTGGAGAACTGTGAAAATAAAACTTCCAAAACGGATTTCTCCAAGAAAAACTAGAAGGACGTAATTGACAAATTATTAAGGCAATCACAAATAAGACAGTGGACAAGGTATAATACAAGTGTAGAGACATACACGCTTCCGTAGGGACCTGTCGTTAATTATTTTACTCGTCACAATATTTATTATGTATACTTTACAAGCATTTATATAATTTTTATTTCAAAGAGAGATTGATGATTTTTAAAAATAAAAGAAATTATAAAAATTTTACTAGACTTGCATATATTTGATTTCTTTAGTTATTAATAAGAATGATTGAAATTGATATCTGCTTCATAGAGGACAATTTAACCACTCTTGTCTCCCTGTGATTGCACATATTGTCATTCTGTACATATTGTCGTCGGCGACAATATGTACCTACCCTCACTGCACATATTGTTGTCCATTGGTACATATTGTTGCCGGCGATATGTGCCAAGACAAGCCTTATTTTTCTTCTGCATAATGGACAACAAAATGTACAATCAAGCATCGGCACAAATTGTCGTTGATATATTGTTTTGACGAATATTTACAAGGGTCGTAAAGAGAGAGAGAGATTGACAAACAAACACACACACACGCACGGCGGGAGACAGACAGCATTACTTGCGATACTGTAGGGAGAAAATTTTGTCCAGGATTGGTGTACACACTATAATAAACAAAGATACCGGAATTCTTTTTTTTTAATTTGTAAATCAGAATATTCCTATTTTCTTGACGTCAGTAATGATAATTATTTAGATAATACTTTTGTGTTTTTCTTATACATGTATAATTGTGGTTGGAGGTCCACATCTTAGCACACATAAGCTGAAAGCTCAATTGAGCTTTTAATTCTGATCACCCGTTGTCTTTCTTTACGTCTGTCTGCAGGATTTTTTTTCCAGGGGCCACCCCATTCAAAAAATTTCAAACCCAGAAATTTCATTTTTTAAAAAATCCCTTCCCGAACGTATTCTAATCCAGAAAATTTCTTGACAAACAAGAAGAAAAAAAACGTTAAAGGGGATGTCCATTCCTAAAGGTGATAAAAACCTATTTCGTGGCGATATATTGGTGGTGTTCACATTTTCTAGGGGGTCCAAAGCCATTATTTATTTGCTTCAGTGTATATATTTAATAACTCTGCAAATTCCGAGGGGGGGGGGGGCGGACCCCTCTCTCCTTCCCCCTCTAGATCCGCGTATGGTCTGTAAACTTTTTAAATTTTCAACTTCTTCCCAATAGGCAAATTTTAAACATTGGTGCAAAGCATCCCCGGGTACAGGGGATCCCAAATTGTAAAAATGAAGAGCCAAGTCCCCTTACAAGGCAAAATAATCAAGAAAGGGCAAAAATAGGGTAGAGTCATTAAAAAATCTTCTTCTCAAGAACCATTGGGTCTGAAAAGCTGAAACTTATGTGTAAGCTACCTCAGGTAGTGTAGATTTTAAATTGCTCAGATCATGGCCTCCGGGGGTAGGTCGCAAAATGAAATGAAATTTCGTCATTGAAATATATAGGAATGAAATATATGGAGATAACGAACAGTATTCAAGCTCAAAAGTCCGTTAAACAATACAAAATAGGAGCAGAGCAAACACAGACCTCCAAACATCAGAGGTGGGATCAGGTGCCATGGAGGAGTGAGCATCCCCTGCCGACCGGTCACACCCGCCATGTGCTCCTTCTCATGATCGACAATTCGGTGTGTAAATAATGGCCTAACAATTAGTATGAAAAACGTCAGTCAGCATTTGACTCAGTGATAAATTGTATTTGCTGACAAGGTCATTGTATCGACCATAGAACTTACGAAATGATTACTTTCAACGAGACAGCTGATATTCTTGTTTCATCAATTTGTTTGTCAATAATTTACCTCGTTTTAGAAATTGTACATACGTAGAGCATGCTCTTGCGTATCGAATCAACTGAGAGATATATACCCCGTATGCAGGTGATGAAGGTATATTGCTGCATAAGTAAGGGAAGCTGACGAATGAAAAGTTAAAGTCATCACGTTTATCATAAAGCTTGGTTGTTAGATTACCATTAACGTCTTTTTCAAGTAAAATATCCCAGTATGAAACAGATGTGTCAGACTCTGTAATATCATTTGTCTCAAGCTCACCGAGATATATCGTATCGACATAAGAATGGAAATAGCCATTGTTAATTGACAATACGTCGTCGATATATCTAAATGTCGAGTTGAAGGCCACAGCAAGTGTTTTCTTCTTTTCACGTTTAAGATTTTGGACAAATTCTGCTTCATATGAATACAAAAAAAGGTCTGCTAATAACGGGGCGCAATTGGTACCCATGGGAATTCCAATAGATTGTTGGAAGACCTGGTCTCCAAAAACCACATAGATATAGTCAATCAGAAACTCAAGCATCTTTTTAATGACAACTTCAGAGTACTTGTGTGTACGATCAGAATGTTTTTTAACAAAATAATTTTGCAAATGACCAATGACTAGGTAAGTAAATTTACGAGTTCCATTTTTATTGAAAAGCAGCTGTCAATAATATAAAAAAGCCTGGACTTGAATTTATCGTGGGGAATGTTTGTGTATAAAGTTGAAAAGTCGTAAGTTTTTAAGCTGTTGATTTTGGTAAAATCTTGTGATTTCAAATTTTCCAAAGTTCCTTGGAATTTTAAATTAAGTATCCACATCTGATTTACACCACTTCTCGAATATACTCTTGAAGTTTCTCCTTCACTACTGTTAATATCTTAGTGAGGAGTAAAGAAAGAGGCTTGTTTGAACATTTACTGGAACCCGCCATGTATTTTGTTTGTAAGGATTTTTATGAAGTTTTGGAATCCAATATAAATATGGTAATTCAAATACATTTTGGTTGTTTGGAATATTAAAAATATTCAAAACTGACATATGATTTTGAAGAATGTCTTCCTTAGAAAGGGAATTATGAATATAAGTTGGATTACCACTTGTAGTATTAAACCCAAGTTCCTCTAAAATACATCTATTAAATGAGCCTTACAAAGACAATGTTGTTACCTGCTTTCTCAGCAGGGACCAGTACGTACTGATCATGTAATCCATCTAATTCTTTTTTCACTTCTGGATTACTGAATACAGAAGGATAGATGGTTCTCATATTGCCCCTCAATCTTTTAATGCGCGATTTTAACATACATCTGATACATTTAATCCATTCTGACAAAGTGTCAAGGTCTTCTTTTTCATGTCTGGCCCATCGCCTGGCGTAATCCTCTACAGAATCCATAATATTTATAAAATTCCGAAGCCAGTTGAAGGATCGGGGTTCCCTATATTTAGGACCTTTAGGATCTTCAAAGAACAACTGGACAAGATTAGATGAAATTTATGCATCCTGAAGTAGTGTTTATTCTAAATTGTTCAGATCATTGTCCGCGGGGTAGGGTGGGGCCATCATAGGGATTCAAAGTTTTATATTGAAATATATAGGAAAATATTTTAAAATCTTTTTCTGAAGAACTGCTAGACCAGAAAAGATGGAATTTAGTAGAAAGATTTCTGAGGTGATGTAGATTGTAAATTGTTCAGATCATGACACCATGGTTAGAGTGGGGCCACAAAAGGGGATGAAAGTTCAACATTGAAAAATATCGGAAATTTTTTTTCAAGAAATTCTTCTCAAAGACCTCTATGCCAGAAAAGCTGAAACTTATGTTTCATAAGGTAGTAACCGTTCACGGTAGCTCAGTCAGTAGAGCGCTCGCCCCGTGATCTGGAGGTTCGAATCTCGGCCGCGACTGATCTAAGTCGATAAAAATGGGTAGCAACTGTTCCTTCGCCATGCGCTCGGCACTTTGAAGTGAAAGTTGCGGGTCCTTCGGATGAGACCTTAAAAACCGAGGTCCCGTGTCACGGCAGGCGTTGGCAATCTGTCACTGCTTAATGGCCCTGAGTGCCGAGTAAAGGTCAAAATTTGAAGCCCTTCACCGGTATATGGTGACGTTTCTATATGAGTGAAAAATTCTCTAATGGGACGTAAAACAACATACAATCAATCAATCATAAGGTAGTGTAGATTGTAAATTGTTCAGACCATGGTTCCTGGGAGGTAGGAAGGGCCACAATAGGGAATCAAAGTCTTATATTGAAAAACATAAGGAGAATCTTTCAAAATCTTCTTTTTAAGAAAACTGGACAGAAAAGATGAAACTTGGGAAGCCTACGGAAGTAATCTAGGTTGTAAATTGTTCAGATCATGGTCCTCAGGGGGTATCAGTGTATTTTATTTTAGAGTTAAAATAATATAAGGAAGCAATTTGGATAAATATTTGAAATATCAGTACTCGATGTACAGTTTGCGCAAATTCAGCCTCCTTATCTTTCCTCATCATTATCATCATCATCTTATTATTATCATCATTATCTCAATTTGTGCAGTAAGGGTACGTAAGTCTAGTCGTCGGCGACAATATATATCGACGGACGACAGTGCGTGCAGTTACATGGAGGGGAGGTACACAAAGTCGCCGGGGACAATATGTATAGAACGACAATATGTACCGTCACTATTGGGCTGCATGAAATAGCCTTAGAGACACATATGTATGATTTATACACCAATTACATAAAAATAGCCTTAGGGACACATATGTATGATTTATACACCAATTACATAAAAATACAAAAATAACCCTTAAGCGAGGGGGAGGTAAAACTGATACATAGGCCTAGCAGCCTTGTTGTTTGTTTACATGTGATAAGATCGAATTATTGTTTGAAGTTAAAGGTACATTTATTAAATCTGGAATTTTCCATGAATCCCGAGGACTGGAAATGACAGGATTGTATGGATACAGATGATCAGCTGGTTGTCGGGGGGGGGGGGTCCCCATACCAAACCAGGTTATACAGAAATAATTTGTGTTCCTTTTTGGATATTAACCAATCAGAGGCTAGAATACAAACGAAATTTAATTAGAACAAGATAACTAGTTTCTTTGTGCGAAATATTTAACTTATTATAACGAGATAACAAACTTACTACATAACGAGATACAACTAATTCATTATAACATGTTAAATATTTTTAGCTCATCAAAAATGAGTCTATCAGGCTTTTGTAGTAAATGTTAAAGTATTTTATTTATCTTTGTTTTATTGAGATAAATCGAATATTTATTGATTGTAGCCTCCGACTGGTGCCAAGCCACATGGGACACCATTCTTTGTTGGCCTCCAGTCCCGCCTGGACAAACAGTTTACATGGCCTGTCCCCCCTATCCGGGTTTGGACCCTCAGAGTAAGTATTGTCGAAGTCATTAGCAAATACATGTAATTTGCTTGTGACACAGTAATATTATCCATATTGCTTCTGCCTTTGTTTTATGGAAAAATATATATCAATACATATACATGCAGCTTTGTGAATTTTAAACACTTTTCCATGCACAATGAGAAAATAGTACATTAAAACACGGTTACAGAGAACGCGGTATAGTGGGGTTGGACCTCAGCCCCAGGGGTATTCAAACTACATTGAGCGCTGCACTCCTGAATTTCGTAGATTCATGGCCAATTTCTACGGCAATAAATAAGCAGAAGATCAACTCACAAGTTCACGCTTACAGCAAAGTAAATTTCAAAGTTTTATGAGCTATACATATAAAACGAATTACGTTAATTTTCATCCCTTTAATTCAGCTATTACTTTTTAAAAAAAAATGTACGTGTTTACGCTATCTGACTCAAGATTTTAATAGACAAATCTATCAGGAAGTAAAACGATTTTATTGAAAAATGCTAATAGAGAGAAAAAACTTCATTATTGGGGGAAATGATTAAAAGTTATTGCTAACATGCCAATGAAATCCATGTTTCCTTTTTAAAAGGCAAATAAAGACCGTGGTTATTTAAAATGGTATGCAATATCCATGTAATGGTAGCTTTGATATTAAGAAAAAAATTGGAAACTTGAAATTCGAAAGACAAATCTATATCCATGAAAATTATTTATGAGAGGTTCTATGCTCAGAATTAAAGTTTACTAAAATTCCTTCCATTTTATAATAAGATATGTTCTATGGGAATGTGAAACATGGAAAAGGCTATATCTCTCAAATTGCCATGTTTTACTGTTACAGAAATGGCTTTCAGACGCTGTGGTTGTACCTCCCGTTGGGAGGGACCTCAGCCCCTGGGTTATTCGAACTACACTGAGTGCTACACTCCTGAATCTCGGAGACTCATGGCCAAATTCTACGGCAATAAATCAGCGGAAGATCGACAAGTGAATATCAATCTATTAAATGTTTGGAGATCTGTGTAGTTTTAGACATTGTTTTAACCTGATAGACATTGCGTGTAAGCTAAGAAATTAAAACATGGTTTATATGTTGGCTATTTATGATACTGATTTGAAGAATATCAAAGTACTAATTTAAGATAAATACGAATGACTTTTCTTTCTCAATCAAACCTCTATGCCCTTGCAAACAAGACATTGTCCTTTGAACATGTTGAAATGACCCAGATGTAACGTGACGATATATCTTTAGGTCATTTACAACAACATAAAGTTAGGTTTATATATGTAACCAACCAAGTAAACAAAAGATATCTACACCATTTCACCATTTCTATGCTCAAATAGCGTGACAAATTAATCTAATATTAATATATTCGCGGTTTATAAAGCGTAAACTGTTCCAACCCAGTTTATACCGTATAAATTGGGTACCTATTAAATTCATTCCTTATAATTTAAATTTTCATTCATTTGGTATAAGAAAAAAAGATGATTACCCTTAAAAAAAAAAAAAGACTTCAATTTGTACAAAAATTGAATGTAACGTCAGGCGGATCAAGGTCAGGCGGATGACGCAAGTCATTGTGACGTAGGCAACCCAATTTATACGATATAAAGTAAATTCTTTATCCAATCAAATACAGCATTACAACCAGAATATATATATATATATATATATATATATATATATATATATATATATATATATATATATATATATATATATATATATATATATATATATATATATACAATATTAATGTATTCAAATATACATTAAATTTTACATATTGAATATCAATGTATTCAAATATACATTAAATTTTACAATTGGAAGGTTCTGCCTATCTTCCTATCAATGTTACGGAAAATATAAAATTTATAGGCATTTGAAATTTTATATTAAGACGGATTTTAAATGGATTTATAATATTTTTCATTTCATATTTAGTTAACATTTAACTCAAATTTATGTGATTTTGAAAATTTCAAGTAGCGCTTTTCATTTCTGATAGACATTTGACTAGTAGTAATTTGTTGAAAATCGAATAATTATCAATCTGGTATAGATTCAGAATTGTTGAAATTCCATTCAGTAAGAATGTACGAATTATTTTCTTTTATGAACCCCTAAATGCTTAAGAAAAAGGAAAATAACCATAGAAATAAGTCATATTGATCTTTTTTCTATTTAAAACATAGAAATGTACTCATGTACCCTGAATGATCCTCCCTCATGCTATATTATTTCATGAATAATAACATTCTTTTACTTAACTAATATTTAAGCTAATTTTGTAACTTTTTGAAATTTTGAAAATTTTAGGACACAATAGAGCCCAAACTGCACCTACTTCTTTTTCATCAAAATAACCAGTATATCAATGCTTGCAACTGAATGATTTGTATTTCAGCTGATGAAAAAAATAGTGGTTGGAACTCGAACTATGGAAATAATTGGTCTTTGCGTGTCCCTAGTATCTTGTTTGACGTCACTATTCATTTTCTGTTACTTCCGAGCATTAAGGTGCCACAGAACGAGAATCCATCGGAACCTCCTGGTTGCCATCATAGTCCAAATTATAATTCGACTGGTTCTGTACATTGACCAGTACATCGCTCGAGAAAGACAATCCGATTACCTACTGACCACAGGAAGTTATATAGCCATATTTCATACGGTATTGAACATAAACGTTCATTTCTTACAGAATGCCTTTTTAAATAAGTATTTTTATTTCATTGCTTTTAATAAGAAATCAAATTATTATTTTGAATTTAATATTGATATTCTGTGCTTAAAATGCAAATCTATCCATTTACATTACAGCAGAAGGCATGTATTACAAAGTGTGGGATATGAAAAAAATATTAAATGACAGCGATGAAGATAACGATCAGTGATCGATCTCATGGTACCTAATAATAATACAAATCTGTAAACAGGGAAAAAAACCAAAACAACAAGATGTGTTTGTGAAACACTGATGCCCCCGTACGACAGCTTTTGACGAAGGTTAAAGTTTGCCAAATGCAAATCAAACTCTAAGGTCAAGGTCAAGAAGAAATGACTTGTATCAGTGGATATACCTGGTAAATATGAAAGCCCAAGCATCAACCATTCAAAAGTTATGGTGAAAGTTAATGGGTCAAACTCCAAAGTTCAAGGTCAAAGGGTCAAAATCCATACAAACTATAAAAGCCTTAGCACCAACTGTTCAAAAGTTCTGGCAAAGGTTTAAGCTTTTCAAAAGTAAGTCAATCTCCAAGGTCAATGTCAAAAGGTCAAACTTATTGGTATCCTAAAGAAAGTTTTGTCACAAGAAATATACACATGTACCTATGAAATTTGAAAGCCCTAGTACTAACTGTTCAAAAGTTATGACCCAAGTCAAAGGTTTATAAAAGTTTTTTTTGTTTTTTTTTTCAAATTGGGTCAACTCTAAGGTCAAGGTCAAAAATATTTACACTCATGGAAAAGTCTTGGCACGGTGAATAGACTTGTGAAATATGAAAGCCCTGGCACCAACTGTTTATAAGTTTTAGCAAAAGTGGGTCAAACTCCAAGGTCAAGAGGTCCAATATATGGTACCCAAAGGAAGGCCTTGTCACAAGGAATACCCATGTGAAATACGAAAACCATAGCTCCTACCAATCAAAAGTTATGGGTAAGGTTAAAGTTTTTCCGGACAATCAGACAGACAGATAGACGTACGGACAGGGCAAAAACTCTTCGATTACGGGGGCATAAAAAACAGGGAACTCTGGAAATTCAAGAGGTGGAATCAAGTGCCTAGGAGGAGAAAGCATCCCCTATCGACCGGTCACACTCGCCTTGAACCTTAAGTACTGCTCGTCAGACGGAGTAATTCATTGTCAAATTTGATTTTAAAAACAATGGCCAAAACAATCAGTAAGGAAAATGTCTGTTAAAATACGACCAAATGATAGCTATATGTTGTATTTGCAAACAAGATCATTATAACGACCATAGAATTTACGAAATGCTGACACTTAACGATGTGGTTGAAATCCCTTTAACTGATATGCACTGTATAAAATGGGCACGCATTTAGATACACAACCAAATCAAGAAATGATTCTTTATGATATCAGAATTCAGATATCATCTAGATTAGAAGTATGGTGGGCTAGTTAAATTTAAAAGTAGTTGATCCATAAAACGAGCAATTATGGTTCTTCATCCATCACCAGTAATTTTGGGCCCTCTGTTAAAGAAAAACATTTAGGTCTTTTGTTCATTTTTTGGAGTCATTTAAGCTAACCGTGATGAATCTGTGTTTTTTTTTTTGCTTACAGCCAACATTTTGTGAGACAATTTACACGTTACTAGAGTACACAGTCTCCGTACAATTTATGTGGATGTTTGTTGAGGGTATCCACCTACATAACATCATAGCCGTCTCGTTCTTCTCAGGAAAACCCAATTACTTCGTTTATTACATCCTTGGTTGGGGTAAGAAATGATATAATTATCTCACCAGAACCGAAGGCTCAAGTGAGTTTTTCTGATCAAAGAGTGTCCGGCGACCGTCTGACGTCTGTAAACTTTTCACATTTTCGATTTCTTCTCAAGAACTACTGGACCAATTTCAACCAAACTTGCCTCAAAGGAATATTGGGTGAAGGGGATTTAAGTTTGTTCACAGGATGTGCCATGCCCTCTTTCAAAAAAGAGATAATTAGGAATTCCTGAAAAATTGGTGGTTTCTTTTAAGGAGGCTCAATACACTCACAGTTTATTTTAGATTTCATTACAGCACCACTTATTATGAAGATTTCAAATATCCAAATGGAGGATATGATACGATAAATATTTTTTTTAAAGATTTTTAAATCTTTTTGTCTAATTTTTGTTAAATGTTTTATTTCAAGTTTCTGATTGATAGTATTGCAGAAATCTCAGTGTCAAGTGATGGATATCATCTTCAGATATGTAAGCAATATAATAACACTTCATAACATTCAATATTATTTTTATTAGAAAAAAAACCCCCCAATTTTCTCCCAAAAATGAATTAATGTGATTTTCTTAATCTTTGCATGAATAATTTGGTAAATCAGTTATAAATAGACAAGGAATGTATATTAATGAATAACAAGTGACATATTGAATGAAAAATGTTTTAAGGAGATGAAAATTCCAATTTAAAAAATAGTTGGAATAAAAAGTCCACTTGCAAGAGTTCTTTCCTACCCCCCCCCCCCTCCCCCCGACTCAAAACAGTCAGGAACGGTTGAATATATCAGATTCAGAATAAGCTAAAATTTCTAGAATAAATATACATTTTTCAAAGACATAAAGACAATCACACAAACCAACAAGAGTACAGTACTCTAAAAGCGCAAGTGAATTTAAAATTTATTTCAACAAGGTTGTAGATTTCAACTCGAATTTCCTCTGTACGTACATTTTGTCAGTTGTAGAACTTGCTGCTTTCGCTGTGACATTGTACACTACTTGGTTAGCGAAGATTTGACTGTCATTTTCTTTGGTCTCTACTTGAAAATAATCCTTCTTCATTTGTGATTTATAATGAATCCGTTATCTTGTTCTCATATTGTTTACAACATTGCATGTAGTCTATTTTTAGAGCGTTCTAAAGATTTAGATCATCAGCAAACGAACCTGTACAATTCGTCTCCAGGAGAAAACGGACGAAACAATGGAGGAGGTTTATTTGTCTGTGTAGTACGTCATCGAAAAGTGGTGTAATGAGCCTCCTTAAAATAAAAAGAAAAAACTGGACAAAAAAAAGATGAAAGCTTCATTATATACTGTAGATTCAAGTTTTTTTATATCATAACCTCGGGGGGTAAGGCAGGCCATAAGAGGGGGGGGGGGTCGAAGTTTTACATAGGAAGATATAAGTAATGTCTTTAAAAGTCTTCTCGAGAAATACAAAGCCATGATGAGTCATATTATTATAAAAGTATCATCAGGTAGTATAGATTCAAGTTTGTTCCAATCATAAACCCTTGGGGGTAAGGCAGGAACACAACAAGGGGTCAAAGTTTACCATAGAAGTATGTAAAAAAGATTCTTTTCAGACAATATAGAAAACAAAAATCGCCCACAAAGATTTTGAGAAATTTGATGTCTCAGATTTTTAAACAACTTTGACTACGAAATTTGAAGTGGGCAACGGCTGTGGACACTATTTTCTTAAGGAAAATCACCCCTTATATGAGCCATTTTGAGGCTTTCTCTGTTTAAAGCTTAGAAATGCAACAAGTCAATGACTTTAAAGTTACTGAATGGTACTTCTTTATGCCAAATTCTTTCATGATTTATCACATTCATATATTCAATTTATATTTCAAAAATTTCGTTTCCATTTGAAAATATCTATGTTTAAGGGTATAATAAAGCCAAAAACCGTGCCTTTAACGTAAAAGTACCTCGTGCTTTCTCCAGTATAAAACTCATATTAACATTATTTCAGGTACTCCAATACCATTCACAGTGGCCTGGGTTATAACTATGCTTGACCTTCATCAAAACAGGTTAGTGTTTGGAAGGTGTGATATTTTAACAAAATAGATTATATTTGATAATTATATATAACTTCTTTTGGATCAAGGAATCCCGAAGAAAAACTTTTTACTAAAGTGTACGTACATTCTAATTGCAGTACCAAAACAAAAATCTGTATGAAGTCTTGATAAAAACAGCATTTTAACGGCTCGAAATAACCCCTCTGAAGAACAAAATGCTCATTTCTGTATTCACTTTCTCAATACAAGGGTTAAGAGTTCATGACGTGACAAGGCTTTACAAACTATAAATAGTTCACTTTGAAACAAACGTTATTGGTACGCGATCAAATCTGCTGAGAAACCCTTCAGAAGAATTTGATCTCGTGACCAAGTTTATTTCAGATTAGAGAACTTTTTAACACTGTCATGTGTTTCTTAAAAAAAATTAAAAAGGGAGAGAACCGCCCCTATAATCCATAAGTTGTTAGAACCTTTGCGCGCCGATATACGTATGCGGATCAAATGATTTAGTTTTAATTAGACTGCCTTTTATCTTCAACAAATTCATATCACGTTTCCTCTTAATTCTTAATGCTTTTTGTCACAGTACCCTTTAATTTTGATCACTGAGGATTATGTCACGGTACTTATTATAAATTCTTAATAGGTTCAACTTTCAGTACCATATCTCACTCTAAATACAGCTATCACATATGTACCAACCAGTGATGATTCCATGAGTGTGATCTCACTCCAAATACAGAAATCAATAAGTACCGGTCACAGAGTCAGTGTTGATTCCATATGTGACTTCACTCTAAATACAGCAATCATAAAATCACTAGCTAATAATGATTCCGTTGGTTGATGTTTTAACTCTTAAAACATCAGACAATATAATTTATATGTTTATATCATTCAATATAATTTACATGTAGTTTTTGGAGATCAAGTCTCCCAATAACCTCTTGGAATTTCCATGGGTACTAGTTGCGCTCTATTATTACAATGTAGCAGAACCATTTTTTATTCGTTTTAAGCAGGATTTATTCAAAATATTCCACACGAAAGAAGTAACTTCTTGATGTGGCCCTCAATTCGACCTTAGATAAATTGACGACTTTTTATCAATAATTGATATTCATTTTCATCCCTACGTTCATTCGATACATCCCTTTGAACTCGAAATTGAAGATACAACAGGGTCTGACACATCTGTTTCATATTTGGATATTTTACTAGAAAAAGACATGAATGGCAACGGAACAACAAAACTTTGTGATAATCGTGATGATTTCAGCTTTTCTATCGTCGACTCCCCTTATTGAATTGTCTACAGATTTTTCCGTTTACCCGATCATGAAACGGGGCACACGGCGATAGGGGACCGGTCGATAGGGAGTGCTTGCTATTACCTGATCCCACTTCTGTTGTTTTTAGAGGCCATGTATATGATAAATACTGGCTCATAATTTATATCGTTTAAATGGATTTTAACGATTTATCACTGTTTGTTATCTTCACATTTCATTTTACCGTAGGATATATCACTCTCGATGCAATAATCACACCGGTATAAAGTACCAGTCAGTCATGATTCCATATGGTGATATCACTCTAAATACAAAATCATCAAAATACAAGCACGTAATGAAATCACACTCTAAATACTATCATATAATATCATATCATATAAGTATCAGTCATTAATAAAGCCATGAGCGTTAGGATCAGCCAGCATTGATTCCAAAGGTGCACCTAACAGCCATGATTCTGTAGGTCATTTATTTATTTCTTTTATTCTGGTCATCACATTTAATGGTTACTTCCTATTATAATGATGATTAAATTTACATGTCAAATTCTGCGATGATAATAAATAATGTCCATAAATGAAATGATCATTAACATATTGTTAATGATCATTGCATTTACTCAATCACGGCCGCGACTGAACTAATTCGATAAAAAATGGGTAGCAACTGTTCCTTTGCCAAGCGCTCGGCACTTTGAAGTGAAAGTTGCACGATAAAGAACCCTCACTGCTCAATGGCTCTGAGTGCCGAGTGAAGGTCTAAATTTGAAGCCCTTCACCGTTACATGGTGACGTCTCTATATGACTGAAAAATTCTCGAACGGGACGTAAAACAACACTCACTCAATCAATCATTTCATTTACAAGAAAAGTTCACTGATGATAGTGATAAATATAGTTTTGTTCTAACGGCAGTTACACTTTGTCTTTTTAGTTGCTGGTTCCCGTACTACTTTTTAACGGAGTACTGGATTATAGAAGCGCCCAGAGTAACTGTAATTGGTGTATGTACTTTATAATTCTGTACATTTTTACTGTTTAGAATAAAGATTTTTTAAAATACAATAATGATTAAATTGATCTTTAATTGTAGGTAAACTTACTTTTTCTACTCAACATAATTCGTGTTCTGGTGCACAAGTTACGAAAAACTCGAACACTGGAGCCACAGCTGACAAAAGTCAGGTAAAACATATATAACAAAAGTCATGTTTAAACTGACAGCTGACAAAAGTCAGGTAAACATATACAACAAAAGTCATGTTTAAACTGACAGCTGACAAAAGTCAGGTAAAAAAAACACACACATATAAAAAAGTCATGATATACACAAATCTGAGAAAAGTCAGATAAAATGAAATATGAAGATAACGAACAGTATTCAATCTCGAGAGTCCAATGAAACGATACGAATTTGGAGAAGAGTAAAACACATATTACAAACATTAATGTTTTAACACACAGCTGAGGAACGTCAGATAAAAAAAGATAAGGTAAGTCCCTACACCGTAACTCGGCATATCTTTGGTTAGAATTATTTTTTTTCCTTTTGAATCATTAGAAAGCATCTTATGTAATTTAGAAAAAAAACGCTCAAGAATACACAACTTTACAAGTTAATTTTCTGACCAGAAAATCTAGATGACGCATACCCCTTTCTTTCATCTATCTCAACTGAATTTTTTTTGGCTAATCTTAACAGAAAATAAAAGCAAAATTACTTTCAAATCTATCAATTTATCTGCTGTTATGTAATTTATTCATAGTTAAGGTCATTTCATTAATATATTAACAAATGTGAAAATTTATCGGGAAAGTGTGCCTAATAAAATTTTTTGAATCATCTCAAAATTTAACGTGAATGTGTATAATTTCAGAATGTCATGGTCTAACACCTTACTTTTTCAAAATACAAGATTTTCGTCTATTTTGTTTTAAAAAATACTGTGCCTCACAGGCTTTTTTCTTCCTACAACTTCTAGAACATGTACGCAGGTATATTAATGCAGTACCCAGATCAATTTTCGGCAAATTTAGACTTCTTTTCGTAAAATGTAGCATTGATAAATCGGAAAAGCGATAGATAAAACATTTACTATTATTATCCATTGTATAAACGTCATTGAGTCTTAAGGTGCGGTCACACGATGCGATTTTTCATTCGATTTTCATTCGACTTGCTCAGGTAAGTCGATTGGAGTCGATTGGTGGGGTGGTCACACGATACGATTTTACATTCGATTTACAAACGATTTTTACAAGAAATGAACAGGTACTTGTTTTTTTTTTAGTTTGAAGTAGTTCTGATTATTGTAATAAACCTAAAAAGCATCATTATGAAAATATTTTTCCCTTTCATTCAGTTTAACATTACGTCATTTGCCCCATTATGACGTTGATGTTGACGTAATCTACAGGTTATGTCTGAAGAAAACATGCATACCGCATGTAAAGAACTTGTCCGAAGTATCTGATGTTTTCCAGAGTTTTTAAACTGACTAGTGAAGGAAAATACATGTTTTCTTTTTTTCATTTCGGCATAAAAAGATTTTTAAAGAGAACCTGCACTACACTTTCGCTTACAAGAAAGGTAAAATAGCTACGTCGCAAAATTTAAACTTGTTCCGTTGACCAGCAGTTGACGAAACAATATTACTGAAAACATTTGAAATATCGCCTTTTTATTTTCACAAATTACTGTAAGTGAAATATTTACAGTCCATTGATTACTATATGTATATTTAAAATGCGTGACTGGGTACACTGTAAATCAAATTCACCAGACGCTCCAATAATTAAGTTAAAAAATAATAATAAAATAAATAAAAATTAGACTTAAAAACTTCCCTGATGGTATGTAAACTAATCATTAATATTTTTAAAGAATTCAATATTGAATCTTTTTTTTTTGGGGGGGGGGCAAGTCCAAGTTCAATTTATTCACTCAAACCAAAGTATTGTTACATGAGTTACAAAATTAATAACATACAAACATATATACAGTAGTTAGAGGTACATGTACAATGCTACATCACGTGGAGGTGAAAGGAAATAAGGAAGATAATTCAAGGAGAAAAGACAGCAACGTAATTCCTCCTAATAAACATAAATAGTTTTTTTTCAGTCTGTTTTTTTTCGTTAGTAATTCCGTATATAAGGAGAGTAGGGGCGTTTACAGAGGCTCTAACTTGTATAGGAGTAAAAATTAAAAACCTAATCTAGTTAACCACTTCATTTAGTACTTTATGTGAGTTCTAAAAAATTAAAATCTACTATTTTTAAATTATTCTACACGTTTACATATATATACATGAAATAAGTTGAATCTCTTGACGAATGCTTATAATTAGAATCCGTGCAAATACTTAAAAAAACTACTTGTTCATATTATTGATAGGATTGGGGTGTTTACGCGGCGTCAAGTCAAAAGGATCTCGCCGTGAACCCCTAGCATACTGAAGTACGGATATGGTATGTACCGCAGATCTTAATTTACAGCAACATAAGCACTCGAAAGATCTAATTTTAATTAGATTTATAAACATCCGTGCTAGTTTTAAAAGTAATATCTAAAACTTCTTTTTTTAAGATAAATGCGAAGATTTGAATCAAGCTAAATCTATGATATGCAAAAAAAAAAAATCTTTAATCGTAAATTGGCATTCTATAAACACATGAATCTCCGTCCTCGCAAACTACGGTAATAAAATAATAGTTTATGACTTGTATGCTTTATATAATTGCCAATTTCACCCGTAATTGCCGTTTACTGGGTATCCTTATATTTTGTCAATTAATAATTTATACATTCATTAAGGTTAAGACCTAGTAAATGAAAGGTGCCCACAGATTTCTCAAATTTGAGATACACATTCCTTTAATGATCCTTTACGAATACAGCTTGGTAAAATAAGGTGTATCCTGACATTATTTTGGGGTAAACTCATCGGAAAAATATATTATAAACTGCTTATTTTCAATGAAAAATGAAGAAAGTCTGGTATAAGTATGGGAGTTTTTTCCATCTCAGACAAAGGAAATGTATCAATATTGCCTACAGTCTCTCAGAAAACGGTTTTTCATATCTTCTTGATCTCTACTTTAAAATGATATTAAGGTCAAGATCTAGTAAATGAGAGGTGCCTACAGATTTTTCAGATTTGAGAAACAAGTTCTTTTTTTGATCTTTTACAAATATAGCTTGGTAAAATAAGGTGTATCGGGACATAACTTTTAGAAAAACTCAACGAAAAAACATATATTAAACTGATATTTTCAATGAAAAATGAAGGAAATCAGGTATAAATTTTGGAGTTTTTTCCAACTCAGAGAAAGGAAATGTATCCAGATTGCCTACAGTCTCCAAGAAAACAGGTTTTCGTATCTTTTTGACCTCTGCTTTAAAATGATATTAAATTTAATATAGGTATCGGGGTTACTTTTAACATGATTTCAAATTGAATTCCATAGAAATGTTTCATTTCTATATAATTCTATTACAACCATAATGTACGGGAAAAATTAAGTTTCAATCTATTATGACGTCATAATAGATCTAGCACCAAAAAGACAGTAAAACACATTTACTAGATCTTGACCTTAAACGGAATAAGGGTTTCGGAGTTACATTTGACATGATTTCAAATTGAATTCCATGAAAGTGCTTTATTTTCTACATAATTCTATTGAAACCGTAAAGTACGGGAAAAATTGAAGTTTAAATCAATTATGATGTCATAATGAATCTAGCACCAAGAAGAAAGTCTATACTCATTTACTAGATCTTGACCTTAAAGATGACAAAAATAACGACCATTCATTTCGCGTCGCGGGAAATGTCATTGTGACGTCACGATTTTCACTGGAAAGTCGATTGAAAATCGGACGCCATCCGATTTCCAATCGACTTTCAGATTTTGCTTTCGACTTTCGACTTGGGTGGTTACACGGTACGATTTTAGTCGAAAGCAAATCGAATGGAAAAATCGGATGGAAAATCGAATGAAAAATCGCATCGTGTGACCGCACCTTTAGGCTAAAAGACGCACTCCACTACGACGTCATTACGTGACGTCTATAAATAAAAAAAAATCCTTAACGAAAAAGTGAAAAGTTCTACCCCGGGGATAATTTATTTCTTTTTGTGAAAATAATTATGTAAAGACATCACTGGGCCATGAAAAGTGGTGCTAGAATCTGACTCTCCCGAAACAGAAAAAAAAAATATTCAAAAGTTTCATAAAACCTTACCAAAATGTCCACATTTTTTTTTTTACATACGATCAAGGAATTGTCATCAATTCATGTAAACCACACGATTCTAGCAGCACTTTCTATGTACTATAGAATACAAACTTTCGATACAAACAAAAACTATGTTACAAAGTATGCGGCGTAGTGTTGAACTTTTGCATCTTTGTTGTTAGAACGACCATAAAACAGGCTGATCGGGATTTCAAAACACTGCCTGTGTTCATTATAAGAAAACATGATAAGTATAAATCAGCGTACCTGATTCTTAATCTTTAATTCCTTATGAACCACACATGACATTCACGGTATATGCTTTAAAACTCCCATTTCATATATATGTTTACATGAATTCTCGTCACGTTTAATTTTCACTCAGCAAATATTCGATCAATAGTTTTGACGTCATGGGTTTGGTATTTAACCCCCGTGATAAATATTAGTTATTAAACTACCGAAGACCGACAGGATTGTCAAAAGTCGTGATATTTTCCTGTTTTTATGGAGTACAACAAAACATGACAGATACCACAGATTTACATAAAAAATAATAAATATTGTGAGATTCTCAATTTCCTGTGTTTAAAATTTCAAGAGCATCTATTTTATACTTTTTATTTTCTGACATAATTAATGACCCCGCTTAAAAAAACTTCGGTTATTCATAACGTCAGAAACACGCTATTACGACGTCTATCTACCCATCATTTGAAAAAATCGTTTAAAAAATCAGTTATTTAAAAACGTAATTAGATTTTTAACCTTAGATTTCCTAAATTTGTTAATTTTTGTAAATTATGTAAAAATAGTTGCTTTAAAAGAGCAAATACGCTTTATTTTACTATGCTGTGCGAAGTACTGCGCAATGAAAACCCCAGTCGGCCCCCTTAAATACAGATATTAAGAAATCATTATTTCTAAAGTTCACGTCATAC